GAACCGGCCAGCCGTTACAAAGTACAACCACCAGATCGGCGACAGAGAGGAGAACGAAGGGGAGAGCTTACAGCCGGGGAGCGGTTGCAAGCACCAGACACCATGCCTATCCTATTTGATCATTTACAAACGCAGGGCCTGAAGCCAGGCATCAACATGCCCGCGTTCCTCAGAGTGGAAGCGGCTACGCCAGAGGACGGCATCGTCGTGGCAGGCGTTCAGTGTAGCAGCCAGAGAGCGAGATTCCTGTTTGAATACCACCGCATTTCTCCTCTTCCAGAGATGCCAGCAGCACAGCTGCACGAAGGCATGTGGAGACGCAGAACCGACCGCACCAGAGGCGTTGAAACGCTGCAGCGCCCGCACCTCGGCCCCAGAGGTGGTGAGGCCTAGCCGCCTAGGGCGCCCCAGAACACCCGAGCGAAGGGGCAACCAAAAATCAGGTGATCAGGCGTTTCCAGAGGCGCGGGGCAAGCGGGGCACCCGGCCCCCTGGATGTCGACAATGTGCTTCTTCAGCAGGTTGTCTCGGGTGTGGATGCGTCCAAGCGCGAGCAGCCAGACGAAGAACTTCACCCGAGACGGTGCCGGCGAGCTCCAAAGGAAGGCGTTGTTCTCGACGATCACCCCCCAAGGCGGAGGAGCCTGTAAGCGGCGCCCGAGGCTAGCTTGTCCTCCTTCTTCTCGCACAGAACCAAGCGTCGGCGGTCATCACCTCCCACTGTCCCCCGACACGCGCTCGATGAGTGGGAGGAGGACGAGGCGTTCCCGGGCCGCAACGACAGAGAGCCGCGGTACCAGCGCAGCATCGAGCCCCAGGGTGCAAATCGCCCAGACGGATACCTCGCGGAACGCGGCGTGGGAGGCCAGGGCGGGGAAGGCGGTGCGAATCGGCCCGCAGGGTAGCCAGTGATCTTCCCAGAAGGCCGCCATCCGCCCGTCCCCCACGTCGACGCGGGAAATCGAACGATAGAGGGGCATGAGCCCCCGCAGGCACCCCCAGTGCTCGCTAGCGAGCGATGAGCCACGCGCGTCCAGCAGTAAGCGCTCGCCAAGAGAACTCCAGACCCAGGACGCCCATCTGGACAGTGGCACGGAGTGTAGCCGGTGTAGGACCTTGAGTAGGAGCGAGTCATTTTGGGTGGCGAGGTCCCGGACCCCAAGCCCACTCTCCTCCTTGGCACGGCACACG